TGAGACACCCTTTTGTCTGTCAGAGGCAAACTCAGCTATCACATGCATCACTGAGCTTGAGGTGACAATTAGTCGTTCCTGAAAAGAGGTTTCAAACTCAACTGACATACCTTGTCAAATACAATTTGTATTTTTTTTTTTAATAAAGCTAAAATACAACAACAAATAACATCTGTGCAGAGATAAAGATGAAATTGTCTATCATAATAGTGAATGCAGTAAATTAACTCAGGAGTATAAATAACAGGGCAGAGATAATGAGTTATTAGGAATTGTGCAAATTGACTATACAGACTAATGTTTCCAATAAGAATTCAAAGCTGCCCTACAGAATACACAAAATACAATTCTTTGAAACTTTCATGTTCAAGTGGATCACCCTCAGTCCAAATCATCCTAAAAAAAAAATTATGAGCCATGAATGTAACAGTACACATAATTACTGGAGTACATAGAACTGTCACAAGAATTCTACAAAACCATCTGAAAAATTAGAACTATTATGAAGAATACTGAAATGAAATGTTAAGAAGACTTACAATAACATGATCTCCATGACAGCAACATGATTCTACAAAAATGAAAAGCCAACAGTGCATACATGGCTTTGGTTTTTACATTCAGGATAATCTTCCAATGACCAGAGAATAGTCTCCCGAGTCCACTGACTACTTTTTCATGTGCTTCCATCTTTTGCTACTAAACTGTCAGCTATATCTTTTTCCTTTATCACTTCCCCTCTTCCCTAGACTGCACTACATTAGATGAAATAGCTGACAGTATAGAAAAGGTACTTTCTCTCCATCCATCTGCAAACATCTTTGTCTTCAGTGACTTTGTTTCAGCCACATGTCATGGTGAGCATTATTCTAAAAAGGTACCAATTTTGCTGATATACACACATTAAATTTTTTCATTGCCCAATCCCTCATTGAAATCGTGGACTTCCCTACTCATTTCCCTAGCCAACCCAAGCAATATGCTTCTCTATTGGATCTATTTCTTACCTCCTCTCCTTGCTCTCACCAAGCTTCACAATACAGCCCCCTTGGTAACTCAAACCATTCTGTGGTAGCTATTGATATTTCCTCCCGAGCATCTATTAAACAGGAACCCCGTATCCATAAGACTTCTTTCCAGTACCAGCATGCTGATTAGGACTCATTCTGGGATTTTCTTTGTGAAGACCCTTGGATTGACATCTTCAGCCTCCCAACTGAAAATTGTACCACTGAGGTTACTTCTTGGGTCAAAGCCAACAACATGGACACTTGGAAATACCAGATGAAACCTCAATCCTCTCCATGGTTCACACCAGCTTGCTCAGCCACCAGAGCACACAGAAACAACTATTTCTGGCTATACCAGTATGACGGCTCTCATCATAACAGGTGCTTATTTGCTACTGCTCATAACATATGTAAATGGTGTCCTTGAAGAAGCTAAATTCTTGTTTGCTGAGAGAATGAAGCACCGTATAGGCTCTAAAAACTTTGGTTCTCTTGACTACTGGCATGTATTAAATAAGTACAAAATCTCTATTCCCCCCTCTTCAATTGACTGGAGATGTTATCCTCTGCTGATAAAGCTGAATGCTTTGCTCGCAAATTCTCCTTAAACTTTACCCTTGACTCATTTGGAGTATCTCTGCCTAACTTCCCACTTAGAACTGATTCTCTGTTGAGTGTTATGCATATAACTTGTTTCATAGTTTCTGCTATTATCTCTAACCTTGATCCCCACAAAGCAGGTGGACCCAATGACATCCTTGTAATAGTCATAAAGAAGTGTGCACCCAAACTGGCTCTTGTTCTCTCTAAACTGTATAATAAATGCCTCCTGCTTTCTGGAAGTTATTGTCAATTGCTCCCATTTTTAAAAACTCTGGTGAACCATCTGACCTATCCAATTATCAGCCTATTAAGCCTCTTTTTGGGAAACTCCTAAAGGCCTTAATCAATGCTGAATTGGTTCCTCATCTCTCATCACAAGGACTTTTCTCAGACAAGCAATAGAGCTTTCATTTTTCCAGATCAACTGCTGATGTCTTTAGATAAAAACAGTGAAGCCTGGGCTGTAGCATTGGACATCTTGAAAGTCTTTGGCAGGGTGTAGCATTCAGGTTTTCTCCACAAACTGAAAAGCTATCCCCAGCAGGCACATTTTTGAGCTGATCCAGTCATTCCTAGCAAATCATGAAATGAAAGTTGTCCTGTACGGCCACTTGTCTACATCCTTTCGTACTAACACAGATGTCCCCCAGAGCTCCATCCTGGTTCCTAGGCTGTTTTTAATCCTCATTAATGACCTCAACTTGGCATCTATGCTGATGACACTATCATTTACTCCTGCCTCGATAGTAAGGCTGATCAGTCAGACAAGGTCAAATGGCAGTTGATGTACAAAACGACCTCAAGACCCCTCTCTGTTTTCCATCAGCATGGCTGATGCTATCCTCCATTGCGCCTTCTCAGCTGACATGAGGTGAAAAGACTACATTGAATCCATCTCTAGATCAGCTGCTAAGAAAGTTGGTTCACTGCATTAGGCAAGACAATTTTCCTCTCCAAAATCTATCTTGCATATCTCTTAGTCTATTATTCGTCCATGCTTAGAATATTGCTGCTACATATGGTCTAGTGCCGCTGCTATTTACTTGACACTCCTTGATGAGCTCCAAAGAAGAATCAGCAATATTATTGTCTGGCATCTCAGCTTCAGTCATTTACCCACTACCATAAAATTGCCTTTTTGTTCCCTTTTTAGAAATACTTTCATGGTAATTGTTCAAATGAGCTCTTTGCTAGGGTACCTAGACTGTATGAATTTAAATACTATACTGGCGGCGAGGTCTCATCAATTTACTGGTGAGCTAGCTAGATGTAGCCATAACTTCTATGCTAACAGTTTCTTTTATCACACTTCTCACTTGTGGAACTCCTTTTTGGATCCATGCTTTCCAACCAACTTTAATCTGTAAAAATTTAAATGCAATGTCAATCGCTATCTACTCTGCTCCTGACTGCTCTTTTCTCTTCATTACTGATGTTTCTGTTCCTAATTTCTCCACAACCTGTAACCCCACGCGTGCCAGTGGCTGTACTGCCTTGCTTGGAGTGATACCAATTAAAAAATAAATAGGAGAGAGAGAGAGATAATTATATCATGACCACTTGTTTGTCAGAGTAAAATCTAGCAATCAAAGAGGCCATTTTGAATTAAATGTCAACACCCATGACAAGAAATATCATTTAAAATTATAATTAGCAATGGCAGATTCATAAAAAAATAATAGAAATCACTTTAAACTTTCTGATTACCATGAGGGAGAAGCAATAGGATAGCCACATTATTAAACCATTTATATAAATTTTTCTATTCACTGTGTCCCTTTAGGACATGGATGACCTTGGCTCTCCACAACATCTATATTTTGCAGCCCAGAGTAAATTATTATGTAAAAACATTGTCTGCAACCTGATGTTGATTATCATGGGTGAGAAGCACTAGGATAGCCAGATGGTTCAACCAAGCATATAAATTATTAGGTAAAAATACATGGGTCAAGGAAGATTTTGCAATCAGGCTTTTGTTTATCAAGGGTGAGAAGCACTAGGATAGCCAGATTCTTCAACCGATTAAATAAATTATTAGTTAAAATACATGGGTCATGGTAAATTCTGTTATCAGGCTTTTGATTATCATGGGTGAGAAGCACTAGGATGGCCAGATTGTTCAATCACTTCATTCTCTGCTGTGTGCAGAAAAGGAATGTAAAGAAAAAAAGAAAAATAAATAATGAATAAAAAATAAAAACTTAAGCACTACACAGATCATTTGGTATTAGTGTAAAACAAGGATGATGCAGCTGTAATTATCATGTTGTATAATTTGTTATTTAAAACTTTAATGAACTTGTACTTTAAATTTGACACAGTGGTAAAGTTATCTAAAAGATCAATATAGCCATGCCAGATGTTTAGAGAGGGGTGCTATTCACAACAGATACACCTCTACATCTGTTGAATATGGATTTCAAAATCTGTGTTTGTCTAATAAACATGAAATCACCTGTGTTACCCATGTTCCTGGGAACAGATTGACCCAAACAGTATGTTTGCTATGATTTTCTGTTTATTGCTATTTCTGCTGCCATCAAGTAAGCTGGTCTCCATTTTCAGATGTGGCCGGCTAAAAATAGATGAAAACGTGCCACTGCACTGAAAGTAGTCATGTTCATAGTACACATCACATCAATGTTTGCCGCAATGACAGTGGGGAAACTATTTTGGGAATATTTACCATAAAATCACAAAATGAATATATATATATATATATATATATATATATATATATATGGATTTTCCAAGCTTTAAGAAAAAAAAAAATTCTTTCTAAGGTAACAAATATTGTTTTTTCTCAGGAGACCTCATTCTCTATTAATATTGTACACCTGAAAAGGATTCAATCAAAATCCTGTGATGATAAAGGAACATTAATAAGCTTAATAATCAAAACAATAATGATATTCTTTTTTCAAATATGGAAGAGCATAGTAGCTAAGCTGTTTTTTTCTCTACTCAACTGCATTCTGTACTATTTTTGTTTTTTTACAGGCAGATGTACAAAGCTCCCTTTATGTTAATTCATTTCCTATTATAAGAAATACGTTGAATCAATAGCTTCATCTATTGCAAGGAAAGTTGGTTCTTTGTGCCGCGCCAGAAAGTTTTTCTTGCACAAGTCCATCCTTCAAATCTATAAATCAACCATTCACACTTACATGGAATACTGCTGTCATACATGATCTGTAGCCCCTGCTGTTAGTCTTAAGGTCCTCAACAAAATCCAGAGGCGGATATACAATGTGATTGGCCCTGATTTGGCATCTCGTTTACAGTCGCTCTGTCACAGATGTGTCATCGCTTCCCTCTGTCTGTTCTACAAATAATTTCATGGTAACTGCATCAACGAGCTACTTTCGCTAGTTCTCAAAGTGCATGAATTTAAACGTGCTACTAGGTTGGCATCTGTGCCACCCTTTCACTGTCAAAACAGTTAAATGTAGCCATCTCTTCTACTCCAAAAGCTTCATGTCTCGCACTTCCTGTCTGTGGAACCCCCTTCCTCTTAATTGCTTCTCTGATAGCTGCAATCTCCAACTATTCAAATGCAATGTCAATTGACATCTCCAGATGCCTTGATCTATTCCCCGACCTTCTCTTCATCCTTTCCTCTTTCATGCCTCTTTACTCTTGCTCCCAGTCTCTGTAACCCCTTGCGTGATTGTGGCACTCCTGCCTTGCTTGGGGTGAAAAGCCTTAACAAAAAAAAATAAAAAATAAATAAAAATTGACATCATTCCAAACAGATTTGTTATTCCGTTTTGTATCATACATCAGGTTGGAATGAAAGTTCTGTTCGATTTTATCATATATATATATATGAAGATACTAATGCATATAGAAATATTTAATGATCAATACAACCTCAATTGCTTTCTAGAACCTGTCAACAAAATTATAGATGCTATACTTGTAAAATTTTCTCTATGTTTTGATGTAAATTGTGAGACCAACTCATGTTCAATCTCTTTTTTGATGTTAATCTTAGGTAATCCAAATAGTTCTGCTAAATACATTGAATCAATTGCTTCATCTATCGCAAGGAAAGTTGGTTCTCTGTGTCATGCCAGATAGTTTTTCTCGTCTGAGTCCATCCTTCAAATCTATAAATCAACCATCCATCCTTGCATATATGATCTGGTTCTCCCACTGTATATCTCAAGGTCCTCGACAAAATCCAGAGATGAATATGCAATGTGATAAGTCCCAATCTGGCATCTAGTCAACAATTGCTTTCCCACATACATGCCGTGGCTTCCCTCTGTCTCTTCTACAAGTATTTTCATGGCAACTGTTCCAACAAGCTACTTTTGTTGGTTTCCAGACTGCATGAATTTAAGTGAGCTAACAGGCTGGCATCTCAGTCCCACTCTTTCACCATCAAAACGGTTAAATATAACCGTCTCTTCTACTCAAACAGCTTCTTCTCTCACACTTCCCATCTGTGGAACTTCCTTCCTCTTACTTGCTTCCTTGATGACTATAATTTTCAAATATTCAAATGTAATGTCAATCGACATCTGACACCCTAAGCTTGTTCCCCATCCTTCTCTGCATCCTTTCCTCAAACACGCCTGTTTACTCTTGTTCTCAATTCTCTGTAACCCCTTGCTTGCTAGTGGCACTCCTGCCTTGCTTGGAGTGAATTGCTTTAAAAAAAACAAAACACGCACAACTCCTAAACAAGTGATATTCAGGAGGAGTAAAGTCAGAGGAATATGGAGACAATTTTTCCCAACCAAGCTCCTCGAAGAGATCTTTAGACAATAATGCAGTATAAGGACAGGTATTATCATAATAGAGGATTACTCCCTTTCTGTTGACTGAGGTTGAAGGCTTTCAATCCAAGCCTGCTTTCAAACTACAAAGTCATTGGCCATAGCGATCAGCATTGATTGTTTGATTATTGTCTAACAGTTCATAATGGATGATTCCTTGAATATCTCACAATATACATTTTCTTTGGATGAAGTCATCATCTCGGTTGTTGAGAGGGTCTGTTACCTTGACTGATCCAGTTATTATGGTACTTAGCATTATGGTAAAGGATCCATTTCTCACCACCTGTAACAAATCTGTCTAAAAAGAGTGCTTCAAGTTGTCACATTGGTGATTTTCTGGATACAACAAGTGGGAACAATTTTCCAACCACAGAAAACTTTCCATATCACTAACATTAAATTTTTTACCATGTTCCCTAGCCATCGGAGCAAGATTTGCTGCAATAGCAGTTTTCAAATCCTCTGAATCAAGTCTTTTTGGAGAATCCATTCTTGGCTTGTTCTCTAGAATACAATCTCAGTTTTGAAACAAGAAAACTACCCTCTGCAAGTTTTTTTTTTTTTTTTTTTTTTTTTTACTCAATGCATTTACCCCATAAGCACACTGGATGGATTTTACTGTTGCAATTGCATTAACAGCTTTATAAAACTCAGAGTAAAACATTTATTTCTTTAGCTGGAATGAACTTAAGGGCAAGTTCTGAACTATATTATGAATAATATTCTTATCTGAAAGAAAAAGATATAAATTACTCATAGTAGCATTACTAAACAATATAAAGAAGCAATTTCAACTCAAAAATTAGACAGAACTTTAATTCTAACCTAATATATTCCTGGCTTTGTCCCTCATATGTGTTTGTGTGTCAGTACCTGTCCGCATGCTTCTTATCTTTTTGCCCATATCTGCATCCATATCTTCATTCCAGATTATAACTTTTTTTTTCTATTCATTCATTCATTCATTCTAATCCCGAGGGCAGAGCTTTCTAAATTATACCCAAATTAATTCTGTACCATGTTAATTTGCTGAAGACTATCTAAATTTCAAATCTATATTGTTTATCCATTTAAAATAGTAAAATTTATGAGAAAGCATATTCATTTTAAATACAGGAGTCTTAAAAAATGAGTTCCAAGAGCTACACCTTTTTCTTGATACCCAGGTTAGTCTTCTCATCACAGATATCCATTTCAATTTCATTCAAATTGTCTGTGCATGGATATTTTAATTCATTGACAGACCTAAAATCTTTGTGCAGCATTTAAAAAAGGTTTTTAAAAAAGAATTATTATTTATTATGGAATAATTTCAGTAATTTCAATAAATCTTATGATTATCAGATTTTTTTTATTGTTTAAAAAATTAACAGGGTTTTCAATGAGAAATTAGTTACACCATTTTATCTCACATTCCACTTGTACCATATTTCAATAGATAGGTGCAGATAGACTTCAGTCTATAGGCAAATTGATGATTTTCTTGCTCAGCCCAAGGTAGGTATTGTCCAGATGGAATGAAAGGGGAATGTGTTATTTTAATGTCTTATGTCAAACTCACTCAGATTGTGTCTGCGTATGCGTGTTCTAGAATGTACATTAAATGGCACAAGCACATGTAAATCACTCATGCAAAACACAGACATATGCATATACACATAAAGTTACACAATGTGTGAGAGAGAAACAGCTCTTTTTTTATGATAGAGCTCAGACTCCATAAATCAAGATTATTTGCTCATATTTTTTGAGAAATAGGAGCAATGTTTCAAAGCCTTGCTTTGCACGCTAAAGTTAGTTGGCTCTCAAGAGGTCAACTGCTTTGTTGTGTATATGAATTGAGAAACGTGATGTTTAAACATCATTAAGAGAGTCAGCAAACCAAGTTACAAGATTTAATTCAAAACTTACATACCTTTATGACAGACTTGAACATTTACATCAACATGCAAGGCAACAGAGAAAATATATTAACATTGGTAGATAAGATTTGTTCACTTGAAACAAGGCTCCAATACCAGTCAAGGTAGAAGAAGAAGATTCTTGCAATGGTATTGGGGAAGAAGAAAGAGAAGTGGTACATGTTATGAGGATATGTAGGATAGATATTAGTTGAACTTAGACTCGAAGATGTTAAGATTGTTGTGGCCAGGGAATCATTTGGACTGACCAGTTGGCAGGTTTCCTCTGTTGTGTAGGGTTAAAGTGATGTATGAGAGAATCAAGATGTTAATCAAAGAGTAATGGCTGTGTCATTAAGTGACCATGATCCTCTTCTGTGTCTAATGTAGGAAGTGGATTTTATATCAGTGTCGATAGTTGATAATCATTTAGTATCTGCAAAGTGAATAAACAATGAGTTTATATATACTAGCCAAATACCAGTTCTATGAACAGAAAAAAGTTTGTCTATATTTCTGAGATGAGGTATTGTCACCATATTTATTACAACATTTTGGCTGTTGTACGCTCCTGCCTTCTTCAGGTGGTTGGAATATCGAACTGAACACTTTATTTCACTCACAGGGGTAGACTGTTCTAGTTCCACGTGCCATGTTTAATGGATGTCAGGGTAAAAGGTTCAGTTCAACATTCTAACCACATGAAGAAGGCCAGAGCATACAACGGCCGAAACGTTGCAATAAATATGGCAACAAAGATGAGAAAAAAGTTGTTATAGCAGTTCTCTTATCTTTCTAAAATGACATGCTGAGCTGGAAAGAAACACACACAGAGCAGATATGGGTAGCTGGTGAGAGAGAGAGAGACATGGAAGTGATATAGGTAGCTGGGGAGAGACACGTGGAAGTGATATGGGTAGCTGGGGAGAGAGAGAGAGACACACACACATGGAAGAGATATGGGTAGCTGGGGAAATGACACACACATGGAAGAGATATGGGTAGCTGGGGAGAGAAGACACACACACACACATGGAAGAGATGGGGTAGCTGGGGAGAGAGAGAGACACACACACACACATGGAAGAGATATGGGTGGCTGGGGAGAGAGAGAGGAAGACATGGGCTGGGGAGAGAGAGAGAGACACACATGGAAGAGATATTGGTGGCTGGGGGAGAGAGAGACACACATGGAAGGATGTTGGTGGCTGGGAGAGAGACACACATGGAAGAGATATGGGTAGCTGGGGAAGAGAGAGACACACATGGAAGAGATATGGGTAGCTGGGGAGAGAGAGAGCTGGGGAGAGAGAGAGAGACACACATGGAAGAGATATGGGTAGCTGGGGAGAGAGAGAGAGACACACATGGAAGAGATATGGGTAGCTGGGGAGAGAGAGAGACACACACACATGGAAGAGATATGGGTAGCTGGGGAGAGAGAGAGAGAGACACACACATGGAAGAGATATGGGTAGCTGGGGAGAGAGAGAGACACACACATGGAAGAGATATGGGTAGCACACACACACACATGGAAGAGATATGGGTAGCTGGGGAGAGAGACACACACATGGAGGGTGGCTGGGGGAGAGACACACACACATGGAAGAGATATGGGTAGCTGGGGAAGAGACACACACACATGGAAGAGATGGGTAGCTGGGGAGAGAGACACACACACATGGAAGAGATATGGGTGGGGGGAGAGAGAGAGACACACACATGGAAGAGATATGGGTAGCTGGGGAGAGAGAGACACACACACATGGAAGAGATATGGGTACACAGAGAGACAGAAGAGAGAGAGACACACACACAGGAGAGAGGGTAGCTGGAGAGACACACACACATGGAAGAGATATGGGTAGCAGGGGAGAGAGAGAGACACACACATTGAAGAGATATGGGTAGAGGAGAGAGACACACACATTGAAGAGATATGGGTACACACAGAGAGACATGGAAGAGATGGGTACATGGGACACACACATGGAGAGAGATATGGGTACATGGAGAGAGAGAGGAGAGAGAGAGAGAGAGACACACACATGGAAGAGATATGGGTAGCTGGGGAGAGAGAGAGACACACATGGAAGAGATATGGGTAGCTGGGGAGAGACAGAGAGAAGAGATATGGGTAGCTGGGGAGAGAGAGAGACACACATGGAAGAGATATGGGTAGCTGGGGAGAGAGAGAGACACACACACATGGAAGAGATATGAGTAGCTGGGGGAGAGACACATGGAAGAGATATGGGGAGCCAGGGAGTGGGACAGAGGTGTTGCAGATATGGAGGTGAGTGGGAGAGAGAGACGTGGTGCAGATATTGGGAGAAGTGTAGTAGATATAATTTAGTGAGAAAGAGGAAGTCACATGAATATTTTAAAAGATTTAATCCAGAATTTAAGATCTGAATCTTAATCACTGTATAAATTTGGCTTTCCTTACAAAACGGTTAAGCTACATAAATATGGAGAGAAATCACTGGCTCTTTCTTTTGTTTTATATCAATATTCTATATGTTGCTGAAATTTAAGTATAATAGCTACAATTTTGTTTTTTTACTTCTTTTTTTTTAAATTTTGTCTTTTTCTTATTTCTCCCAAACTTTTTTCCACCATCTAGTCAAGCTCACTAAGTATGTTACGTGTTGTTTTCCTTTGTCCCTCTTGCCTTCAATGTCCTGTGAGTATTAAATTTTCTAAACCCTCTTTCGTCCATATGTAACATAGAAATTTAAACTATATCCTGATGTTAAGTGTAAGTGTCCTTTTTGTTTCCATTTTCTGTAAAACTTTCCTCTCACCATTGCTCAGTTGGAAAGACAGTGGGGCTGACAAAAAGCGATTTTAACCTGTTCTCTTTCTAGCTGAATGGGTTTTTCAGTGATTCTTATGACAAATGGTGTCAAGATGGCTAAACATCTTATCTGAAAACCTGGAAAAATAAACTCAATTAGTTTAGCGTTTTTTTTTTAGATATTAAACATTTTGAGGGATGGACAATTTTGCTGTTACACCTGAGAGAGAGAGAGAGACACACTTATTGTTGAATGGATGGCTACTAAACTGGCACACCCACTTCAATTTATTGAGTGAGGTGGAATGTTAGCAACCCTGTAGGATGAAAGATAAGACCTATCAAAGGCCGAAATAACTCTTGAGAGTCAATGGTCAGTTAACTGGAGGTGTATCTCAATAAAATAAAAAAATTTTTAAAAATCACTGCAGAGAATGGGAAACCACGTCACTATAAATCCCAAGATGATTCATGCCCACTTATTACAAACCAATATTATTTCACTTTTGATAGTGGCATATTAGCATTTCTTTTAAAATTTTTAGGAAATGATCCTTTCCAAAAGGATTTTACTTAAAGAATATATATATATATATATATATATATATATATATATATATATATATATATAGATAGATAATTGATGATCAATTAATATATTGCTGAAAAACAATCTTGTCTGATCTTGTCACTAAACAGCATCAAACAGACAATCAAATAAATATATATATATATATATATATATATATATATATAAGAGAGAGTTGAGAGTGGAAGATAGAGAAATTGTATAACAAAGTGGAAAAAAAGTTTACTTGTGATGAGTTTTGTCATTCAGGACTTCATCAGACGAAACGTGTCACAAGTAAATTTTTCCACTTTCTCAAACAATTTCCCTCATGCTGTTCTTGATATATGTATATATGTATGTATGGGAAGACCATATATAAATTTTTATATATCAGTACAATTTTAGAAAAAATCTATGACAAAGTGGAAAACTTTTTTAAAAGAGAAACCAATTTAATAAAACAAACGTGTATAGAAAGTGCTTTAATCGCTAGACTGTCAGTAATGATTCACACTAATTACATGTGGACTATTTTCTTTGTTGTTATTACAATGTTGCAGAATTGTTCCATGAAAATGGCATAGTGGATTAAAGCATTTGTGAATTTGGTGACATAATTGTGAGTTCGATCCCTGGGTTAGGTAGGTGCTGTATACTTGAATTCAGCAGAAACATGGTGAACAATAACTGAGCAGTGCTAAAAATAAGAACAATATGTATAAATAAAAGGTTCAGTTCAAAATTTCCTGTATGTTGCCTGGATTGACATAAACCTGATGAAGCTCGGACAGTACAACAGCTGAAACATTATGACAACACTAACAAAGACAACAGTCCGCATGTAAATAGTGTAATTTTCAAAGAAGCTTTTTCTTACTCTGTTTTGCTCAAGTACTTCCAAACTTATCAGTCATTATCAAGTGTTAGTGTGGCTGACAAGACTTTTGAAATTCAAATCAGTCCAAAGTAGCAACATGTTTAAGAGCTTGATCACACTGGCCAAAGCATGTATCATATATATATATATATATATATATATATATATATATATATATATTATGTATCCATATTGAATATTTTTTTTATGTACACTTCAAGATACGGTCTCCTCTGGGGAAATTTATTTTATTAATTGCAGGTTGGCACTTTTGTAAAATAATGGCTTCTAAAATGTTGTTATTCCTTGCAGTGTTTGATGTACAGGGTAGGTCAAAAGTAGACTTACAGTTGTTTCACTATTTGTTTCATGTTTCCACAGCTCAGAACCTGAGCTAACTTTGCTGAACTGTTCTTTCAGCAAGATGGAGCACTTCTTCATTATGCTTTAGCAGTAAGGGAATACCTTAACCAAACCTTTTCACAGGGCTAGTTCGGAAGAAAGGGCAGCATCGAATGGCCACCACATTGACCAGACCTAATGCCAATGAATTTCTTTTTTTTTTTTGAGGGGGGGAGGTGGGTGTAGTAAAAGAACAAGGTTTAAGAGAGAAATCCCCACACAGTGGACAAATTAAAAGAGTACATCTCAAAAGTATTTATTGAAATTAATGCATATCGGGATTTGCGTATTATTGTTCAGGAGAGGTTTGAGGAATGTTGCAATGTTGAAGGAGGACAATTTGAGCACTTAAAAGATTAAACAGGTACTAAAAAATATGTAAATGTACATAAACAGTTTTGAACAAATATGATTGTAACAAATAAATATAAATCTAATAAAATGTTTCTAAAAATGTTAAATGTATACCAACACTAAGTGTAAACCTACTTTTGGCCCACTCTGTATATTTTGGTGTTGCCTAGTTATTTAAATTAAAAAAAAAAAAATTTGTTTATGCATATATGGATAAAGTTAATAGGCAAAACGTGGACAGGTGCCAATCTTTCTTGAGAATGAATGTCAACAATGATTGTACAAAAAAACAAAAAAAAAACTCAAAATAAAAATAAAGATTTTCAATGTAATGTGTATCTTCTAGGAAACAAGTCCAATCATGCTTTGAAAGAAAAGGTTGAACTCATTACAAATGACCTGACAGGGATGATGACAGGCAAAACAAGTTTTAAAATGTTTGTACAAGTTGCTTATCACTTGAAAGATGATTCTTACTTCCTAACAATAGAATGAAAATATTGTTTTCATCTATTGTAATTGTTTAGCTAAGAGACTTCTTTTTTTGTTTTAAAAATAAAATAAAAAATTATATGATCATTGTACAAAATAACAAAGGCTAATAATAATAATAATAAACCAATAATAAGTCACTGTCTATTTCTGACATGAGATATTACACTATTTACATAATTTGGACTATTGTCCTCATCTTTGTCGCCTTTTTTTTTTAGATGGTCTGATATTTGTGCCAGTTTCTGGTAGGATTTTTCAATTTGTCTCCATAGCGACATGGCAACAAAGATGAGGACAATAGTCCAAATAATGTAAATAGTGTACAATAATAAGTCCTTTTAACATTTTTAAGTTATAATCTTACTTATTATAAAACACAGATTCTATGTGTCTGTACGTTTATATATTGGATCGGATTTCCTACATTTTTCAACCGATTTCAACAAAACTTCACAAGACTACGTAAAATTACCTTGCAGTGGTTCTGACAGCACCAAAAATTGGAAAAACACAATTGCTTTTGCACGAAATCAATTTGAAAACACAATTAACAGGCATCTTAATGAAAATGAAAGGGGGACAACTCATATAGAGTTATATTTATTATAAAACCCAGGTTGTGTGGGTGTGTGTTCCTTTATATATGGGATCGGATTTCCTACATTTTTCAACCGATTTCAACAAAACTTCACTTTTTTTTGGCAGGTAGTGTTTCTTATTGTCTTGCACATTTTTTTCTTTATTTTTACATTCAAAATGCTTTAAAAATTCCATTTACAAGACAATTGTTTTTAATAAAATTCTGTTCAATCGGTAGACTCATAACGATTGAAAACAATGTTTTTGTTTGAGTTTGGATTTGACCAATTCATAAAAAAAATAAATAAAAACAAACAAAAAAGAAAAAAACTAATTAAGACATGCATGTCCGTCGACCTTAAACAATAATCTTTGTCAATTTTATTTTATTTTTCAGTCTTTATGATGGTCGATACTTGATCTATCTCTTACTGTTACATCCCCGGGCAACGCCGGGCTCTACTGCTTGTCTTTAAATAAATATAGTGAGAATATGTATTACATACATGTACGTGGAAGGCTAAAAGATTATCTCAGCAAAAAAACCTCCAGTTCAAATTACTGTGATGAGGAGTTATTATTCATACTACAGTTGGTCTATTGTCCTTATCTTTGTTGTTGTTATCATAATGTTTTGCTCACTGTGCCCACCAGCCTTTATCAGGTGTATGTCAATCCAAGTAACCTACAAGGAATTCCAAACTGAACCCTTTATTCAATCTATGGGGATAGACTGTTCTTGTTCCACTCTCTATGTGTAGGGATAAGTCCCACGGGACAATAGATGAGTGGATTAAAGCATTGGTTCATGAATTTGGTGGCATTGTAATTGTGAGTTCAATCCCTGGGATGGGCAGTGTGTATTTGGACTCAGTGGAAACAGGGTTAGCAATAATTGAGCAGTACTAAAAATAAGAACTGGACACGATATCCCTAAATACAGGCAATAGAACAAGAATAGTCTACTTCCATAAATGGTCAAAATGGTCAAAAAGTCCTGTCCTTAACACATCAGAATAAACATGTTTTATGAAAAAAATAATTAAAGTTATTGACAAAAATAAGTTTCCTTCCTCTAAAATTTATCTTGACACTGTCTATAATGTTTTCACTTCCTAGAATCTCCATTATACTTTCTTCCTTTTATAAAATATTTTCAAATTTTTCTGATCAGTTTTCCTCCTTGGTGTTTTATGAAAATCGGTCTCATTTTTTTGTTGTTGAACTAATTAAAGTTATTGATCAATTTTCTTTTCTTGCACTTCTCCCTGTGAAATAGATTTTCTTTTGATTTCCAGCCACTCTTATCCTGTCATATCTTGTCTTAGATGTTCTTTTACTTTCTTCCTCAAAATTCATCGATTGACAACTATCCTTTCCACAGGTTATTGCAAAACATTGTAAAAAATAAATAAATAAACAAATATCAAAAATACAACACAAGAGACATTCCAATTATCAGGTCAAAAATTTAGAAAACAATTCTTAAAAAAATAATTTTTTTTTTTTTGTTTATAACATGAATCTATAATCTTTTTTCTGAAAAATGATTATTGTGTTGACCAACAACAACATCTGTCAGCATACTAAAAACATGTTCAATTTTAAAAGTTCATAAAAAAGACAATTTCATAAAGAAATGAAATGAAAAAAAAAAGATATGCCAAGTGTCAATGCTTTAAAAAAGTCCTACAATCCAAAATAAATGCTTCTGACTTTGTGTGGATATCAATAAAGAGATTAAATTTAAGATAATCTAGATTTACTGAGATTAACCCAATGTGGCACAAAATCACTTGAGTAGAAATGACTGGAGCTAAACTGCCCCAAAGCAAGATTGCTTATCAAAAAAAAAAAAAAAAAAAAAAATTTTTCAAATACAAACAAGAATTATATATGTGTGCATATTTATTGGCAAAGATTTGCATGTTTAATAATTATAATTTTTTTTTTTTTTTATGCCATGTCTCTTCAGGAGATAGATAATCATGGCACTTCCCAGATTCCTTTTCTTTATTACTTATGAACTGCCATGATCTTTTGGGAATGAAAGTAGAGTGGTTTTGAATTTAGAGTAGTCCATCTCCTAGATTAGCTGCCACCCAAGGCTAGATAGCCCAATCTTTCTATTGGCTGAATTATGCAATCTGCTCACCTCACCACTGCAAGCAAATTTTTCCAGTTTAGCCTGGTTCCATAAATGAAGTGGATTTTTTTTTTCTGGTAGTGCCAGAGGAATCTGTATTAGTTTCGCATTGATAGTAGAATGCCATTAAAAATGTATCAGCATACAAGAATCTATCAAAATTTGAAGAGTGTGGTTTGAATAAATGAATAGAGGAAGAAGCATCAATTACCTTAATACCTCAGAAAAAACTGAGGAGAGTCAATGAGGCAATTATATATATATATATATATATATATATAAAAAATATATATATATATAAAAAAAGGAGAGATTCAGTAAGTTTTTTCTGGCTTTGTTTTTAGTTACATTAATTGTGGAATACTACGCAAGAGCAAGCACTGTGATTGCCAGAGTTAAAAAGCAGCAGCAGTTAAGACTGATTCATTCATTCATTCATTTTCTATGGTTTATCAACTCTTTACAGGTTATTTAGAGCCAGAAAATATTTTCCTAAAATGTAACAAATTTTAGATAATAATGATTTAAAAGATACTAGTCTTACTAATTAACCCATATCTGGAGGTAGGAGAGGCAGATTCATACCTAATCTGAATTTGATAAACAAGAAATTATAATGTGGATATAAAGTAGGGGATCAATTCTATATTACAGTGAATATATAGACTAATCACTCACTTAGTGTCATGGTAGTTTCTATACATTTATATTCCAGAGAATGTAAATAAGTCTAAAACCATGCTTGTGTCGCTAATCATTATTTCATTGATTAATTTTCTACAGCTTAACATCTTGCAAGTTATTTAAATCAAGAAAATATTATATTATCCGTTACACCAATTGCACATCCAAGCTTACAGCAACTGGTATTCCCACGTGGTCACCTATCTAGGTACTAACCAGGCTCGATTGCTTAACTTCAGTGATCATACAGGGAACTGGTGTTTCAACATGATATGGCCATAAGCAGCAGTTGAGGGACAAATAAGAGAGAAAAAGAGACATTTTGAGTGTGCTTTTTTTTATGTGCCATGTCCCTTCAAGATGTAGGCAATCATGGCCCTCCACATCTTGTAGCTCTTAATAAGTTTTGTCTTTTCATTATTTCTCCCAAACCCTGTTCTAACATCCATTTACTCAAGCCCATCAATCTATCCTGTGAATATCAGATTTTCCAAGCCTTCCTTTCATATTAAGTGCCCCAGAAATTTCAAATGCCTCTTCCTGATGTTATGTATAAGTTTCCTTTTTGTTTTCATTCACTCCAAAACTCCATTGTTGCTCACATGTTCGGTCCATGGTACCCTCAGCATCTTTCTGTAGAACCACATTTCTGTTGCTTCAAATCTCTTCTTCATCTTTTAGGAAATTGTCCAGCATTTGCTGCCATACAGGAGGACAGATATCACATTACAGTTAAATACTCTTTTCTTTGTTTCTAACAAAATTTTTCTGTCTCTTAATACTCTAAAGGAGTTAACCCGTACAGTCCAGATATTATTTTCTCCTTAGCTCACTTCTGTGGTGGGTATTGGTAAGTACAACCTTCTCTTCATTCTTGTTCACTTTACTTAATAATAAATTACAAAGAGGAAGAATATGACTCAGTAAAATTAAATATGAAACCCTGTAATACAGCTTCTTGAGGAACAGTTAATATTAAAAGGTGATGCTTAATAAAGCAATCTCTTAATTGTTTCCTGGTTTCATGCCACAGAAATTTCTCAATCAGCTCATTCTGAATTAATTCTTTCATGTCACTTAAAATAACATCCCACCCTGCTATTTAACATACTAAAATTTTTTGCCAACATCCTGACACATGTTGAAATCCTCAGGGTATTTAGTATTGTTGAAGTTATAGCTAACATTCTTTGTAGAGATTTACAAACCCCGTCTTGTCCAGTTCCACAAACCAATCAACAAAATTTAAATAAGCTGATTTGTTTGGAAAAATACTTTGACAAAAACCTTACTTCACATCTTAATAATTTATTTAATTTATAGAACTTCATGGTAAACAATATTTTTTAAGAAAATTTTTTTTTTTCTTTTTAACAACAAAGAATAAATTCTTAGGATTTCTTACTCTTGAGCATGCAACATAAAACTGGCCATGCATAAATATTTCTTTCTGGAACCAAATTTCAACTTTTTGAAATGTTTGGCCTCATTTGTTTATAGTTCTCGCAAACACAGGGCAAACTGGATATGCTCTAATCTAATAGTTTCTTTTCTTGCACTTCTCCACTGTGAAACACCATTCTAATCTTTTGATTTCCAGCCACTGACAATCTTAAAAAAAAAAAAAAAAAAAAAAAAAAAAATGTTATACCAATCGCCATCTTCTGTCTTAAGCCTGTTCTTTTACTGTTCTTCCTCCTCAGTAAAATCTTCTCATTCACTTTCACCCCCAGTAATACTTTCCACAGTGTTATTGCTTGGAGTGAAATGATTATAAAAAAAATAAATAAATAAATAGATAGATAACTAAAAATACGTTTTTATTTTCTCTTTGACAAGAGTCATAAAACATACCTCATTTAACTTTTTTCCCCCCTCTCTTGATATTGTTAATGTTTTAGCTGATCCATTATCAGCCTTTGTCATAAGATATTAGAAAACTTTAATTCTTAAAAGAAAAAAAAATTGGATCCCTTTCAGTTAAGAAAATGTTGTGTAACTCCTGTGTTTATAACTTAACCAACCTTGCACAGCTGAAATAGACTGACTATAACTGCTATTTTTCTGAAGAGAAATGGTGGTCCTCTTTTTTAATCGACTAAGTCGCCTAATAAATGGATCAGCCAAAACATTGTGTTGACAATATCAACAACACAAGAGACATTCAATTATCAGGTCAAAAATTGCAAAGATAATTTTTTTTTTTTAACATGAATCTATAATCTTTAAATGATTATACCCACAACATCTGTGCATACTAAAAAGTTCAATTCAAAAGTTCATAAGACAATGAAATGGAAAAAAAAAAAAACAAGATATGCCAAGTGTCAATGCTTTAAAAAAAATTAATGAAAATTTATTGTATTAATCAATGTACTATAGTAAAACCAAATGTACTTTTTATCCCCTTACCTGCTTGCATTTCTCCCCAAAATATGGTTTCAATCAATGTGTGGCTATTTTAGAGGGTGTGATGGATAGACAGACAATCTAACAGAAGTCACAGAATTTTATATATAGAAGATAGATAGCTGGTTGGTATTGGATTTGTTTGCACACATTTCTTCCTTGTTTTGATCAATATACTTTCTAGTCTCCCTTAAGTGCCTCTTGTATTTTGAAATGTTCAACATTGAGAGGTTTGGACATTCTTTTACACAGAAATATTTTATATTGGGTAGCAATGATCTACTAGTGAAGCTTGCTATTACATCCTTGTTGATTCTTTATGGTCTGTCCAGCTCTTTCTATAAATATGTTCTGGTATTTACCAATATTTATATATTTAAGCCAGTTGGGATTTGCTTTAGTTGTATGCAATTTTTTTTTTTAATCATTTCACCTCAAGCAAGGTGATAATGCTACTAAGATGCAAGGGGTTCTTGTAAGTGAAAGAGAATGAGACATGTGAGGAGAAAGGACATTAAAACAACAAGTTCAGGAAAACAGAAGATGGCAATTGGTGCAACGTTTAAATTTTTGAAGATTATTGGTGACAGTGAAGCAACAAATCAGAATGGAATTCCATTGGCAATAAGTAAAAAAATACAAACCATTAGAATAGAAGTAACGATCACATCTAGCTAGTTCAACAGTAAAAGAGTGAGACCTAATTGCCAATCTAGCAGCATGCTTAAATCCATATATTCAAGGCACCAAAGAGAAATCTCATCAGAACAATTGCCATGAAAATATTTATAGAAAAGATAGAGAAATGCCCTGTCATGTCAGCAAGAAAGTGACTGAAGTCAAGATGCCATATCAGGATCAATAACATTACAGATCCTTCTTTGAATTTTTTCAAGAATCTTGAGATATATAATAGGAGCACCAAACCAGATATGACTGCAGTAATCAATGCACAGATGAATAATAGAATAATGGTTTGATGTATAAATTTTTTGTGACAATTTGTTTCTTGTGTCCATAAAAAACACAGCTTAGGAGAAAAGACAAATTCAATCTGTACATTTAGTCATTGAAAGTTGGTGTGGATCATGCCTGCCCAACATGTGGCCTGCAAGATTATTCAGACTAGCCCACAAGGGGTTTTCAAAATTGTCAATTTATTTTCTGTCTAAATTTCTGGGAGTTATTATATGTACTAGAGTTTTAAGTTCTTTGTGTTCTAAAACATTAAATTCCATGTTCTTCCATGACAGTAAATTTCAGTTTTCCATTTTTGTTTCAAAATCATAAAAACACATGAAAAACAGACTTGTGTGTCAACAGTAAAATATACAAATATACAACCTACTTTATATTATTTTTTTGTGCATCAGCAATTTCTGATGATTCAAAAGCGTGTCCCTCCAAGTCAAATCTACAGTGTGTTGACAAAAATTGCAAAATAATTCATCACCATCATGATAAAAATCATCACAGAAAGCTGGCTCTTCAGCTCTGTATTTTGCTAAAAGTGTGCACCCAACAAGTTTGCTAGCTTTTCGTTTACTTATCGTGAAAAATAATCAAACTGGCATTTAAAAATCTATTTTAATTACGAAACAAACAACTTTTTTTTTTCTTTTTTTTTTTCTTTGATGGCGCATGTCACGATATCCAAATGCTAATGTTGCACATAGGTATTTGCCCTGTGGCGACCAGCAGACCAGGCCAGGTTAATATTTTTTGGTTATGGCACTTGCAGAGTACTGGTTAATATTATGGCCCAGGGTCGGATTTGGTTATGGCACTTCTCCTGGTCGCTCCTCCGGGTCCAAGTAACCCTGGTCAGATGATCACCAGTTTCCGACCGGAAAAACTATACCGCCCGTCTGTCTACCCACGCTGTGTTTAGATCTTATAGAATGACATACAAGTTGAGTCCGAAAGTAAAATAAAAACTCACGCAAACAAAATTGCTGGGTAACAACCTTTTATATCTTAAAGTCCGAGTTCCAAACAAAATTGTTCTCATTTCCCGAATTTTATGACCAAGCTTTATCACACAATAGAAAAATTGAAACCTACTTTCTAGAATTTTTGTCGGAGTGGTTCAGTTCGAAAAATTTCTATCGATCGTTTTGATTCTTCTCTCCGACTTGAGTTGTCTTTTCTTCTTCGTCCTGTTTGGGCTTAGTTTCTATTTTTTTTTTTTTTTTTTCTGTCATTTTGAACCATGTTTCAGGCAATCTTCTTCTTCGTCTACTTGGGCTGAAGTTCTCCTGTCTTCGATTTCTTGTCTGAGGATTCTTTTTGCCCAAAGCCCGAAACAGGCTCTATCCCTGCCCGCGTCCAGCTGCCACTCAACTGATTTCTTCCTGCTTATTTGACGCCGCAACAAACTGGGGTGGGTCACTATTTAATTCATTATCATTGTTTTCACCCCTACTTCCTCACAGTACTTTGTTGTCCATTCATTGTTGTCATCCGCAAAATGGTTCCTGATCGGGCATTTCTTTCCTTCTCTTCCGCCAGATTATTTATCGAAAGCATTTCTTTCCCTTCTCTTCCGGTGAGATCACGGACCGTCTCCGACCAATTGTTATTGATCAACATCATTTCTCCTCTTGTTGCGGGGTAGATCAAAAAAAAAAAATCCAATTTTGCCACCATCTTGGCCTTCACCTGGACTTTGTCAAACAGCCCGCCGCTAATTAGTCTTGACTTTAGAAAGGATCTTTTCCGCCTTCTTGGGCCCCCTGTGAGCCAAAAGCAATTGTCCCTCTTTACCTCTTTGTTTTTCCTGATAGTCGAAAATCTTAATTATCTATTTGAAAATGTCTCATTAATTCAACAGGTCAGGATCTGTATATCGCTTTAATTCACTCCCTCAACCC